GTGGGGCCAGGACCAGACGGAAGGGGATGGACTGATCGGAAGGGGATGGACTGATTGTAACAACAATGGCAAGAACTATAATAATAATAGCTTCAGTGTTGGGGGGAGACCTTTCTACGCCCCAGTCTCAGCACACATGGTGTTCTCATTTAGGCCTCACAGAAACCGGAGGAGGAAGGTGTTAGGACGCCCAATCTACAGATGAGGACACTGAGGCGCTAGGAGGGGGCGCAACTCGTCCCAGCACGGAGCTGGCCGGTGGGTGGCAGAGGGGGATTGTGGCCCTGGGCGCACCCTCCCTTCCATGCAGCGTCTTGAGTACACACACAAGTGCACCCACAGCAGCAGGCTGTGCTCCAGCACGGACCCACTTCCCCACCGGTGAGGGCCGAGGGCAGCGGTCTGCACAACATGCACAGTAGGGCAGTGCTGGGCACACCCTCATTCAGCGGGCTCTCAGAGCCACGGACACAGGGCCACCCCCCGCCCCGAGCGTGTATACACACACACACACACACACACACACTCACTTCCTCCTTCGGCAGTTTTCAAGATCATTTTAACTCAGATAAAAATGCATGTGCGTAGTCTGTGTGCCTGAATGCTTGTGTGAGAGCCTGAGCTGGAGAGACGGAGAGATGGAGAGACAGGGAGACAGAGAGACCGAGAGAGACAGAGAGGGGGAGGGGTTGGTTCTGAGTCTGTATTCCGGACTCCTTTTTCCCCCTGGGGGGCTAGGGGCTGTGTGTGCCTCTGTCTGCAAGTCATGTGAGCGCAGCAGGGTCTCCGCTTCTCGAGTGTGATGGGGGGGTGTCTATGCTGTTCCCTTTCCCATTTCCTAAGACCGGTGATGACCCAGCCCACACCCTTCAAACCCAGGGGCTGGCGCTGCCCAACGGGGCCAGAAATTGCAGCTGGAGAACCCCCAGGCCAGGATGCCCCCAGTAGCCACCGCAGGCCCAGGCCCGCTGCCCCGTCTCTACCTCCGCATCTGTCCCCATCTCT